GTCCAAAAGAACAAATAATTTGACGCATTCTTCATTGCCAATTATAGTTTTTATCATGATGCAATTTTTTGTTTAGACCTTACTCTTGTGTAATGTTTCATGACCTTTCATTACCAAATTTAACATTACAATGCTATGAAGGACATTTGAACGAATCAGTCTACACCATCTAAGAAAACGCGATCTTAAATATGAACTAAGTTATATTATGTGTTAAGGATCAGGAAATATTTACAGAGCATGTATATTTTTTTTAAAAAAAACCTGAAATTGATAAAATAAGAATGTACAATACAATTGTGCAATAATCAGGAATACATGTTGACAATGAAAAGAGATGTGCTTAGGGTGTAAACAAGTCTTGGTTATCAATATTAATGTTGATCTGTCATTTAATATTTTGTAAGAAAAGCAAAAGACTTACTTTTGACTGGAGCTTCATCTTGATGTACTTGCCAATCACTGATGGCCTTATCAATAAGTGTCGTCAACATTACTTCACTTTGATTACACAGGCTATCAATATACTGAGCATGTTCAGAAATGCCCTCTGGATCAACTCCATTCTTGCTCCACGAAATCTCAAACTTGAGAAAATTACCCTCATTAATCTTCGCACCTAATTCATTTCGTAACTGACTGAGCCTATCTTGTATGACTTCATCTATCTCGTTGTTTTCACCCAGAGTGTCAATGTACGATCGGTTGGAAGAGTCCCCTACGCTTGACTCAATGTCTTTGAACACGCGTCGTATCCACACAATATCGTCCGATGATGCTTCAGTTTCCAGAGGTCCACTCCTTATCTCTTTCTCCATCACTACACAAAACGTCGATATTCAATGTAAGTTCATATAGGGTAATCAATATCAGAAATGTGTTTATATATTTTGATAAAAACAAAATGACAGGCACTGAGGTACATGTATGTCATGTTCAATGCTTATAACAATTTTAAATAAAATTTGTCCATGTACATGCAAGGTTTGACTCTAGAATGGCAGACATGCTTGATTTTCAGAAGTTTTAGTTTCACGATTGATGCCATTTAACCATGTTGCATAGAATTAGAAACAGTTGCATACGTTTCACATAATGTACATTGTATGATGAATGTGTGAAATCTGAATGGGACCAGTACAGACATGTCAGAGGCATTCATTATTAAAATAATATGGCCACCAGAAGGCCATTTTGAATCCAATTTGCAAAACAATAATGTCCAACGTATGTGTCAAGTTGTAATGAAATTCGCCTTTGCAAGATAGGGATCTGGTTCTTGAATGACAGAAATGTTTGATTTTCTTGAATTTTTGGCACTAAAATGCCATTTACCGATATATATGAAGTTTGAACAAACAAACAGCAAATGAATGGACAGACAGGGAATTAATTACATAAGTAAATAAATAACAAACTGTCAGACATAATGACCATACTGTAATTTGTACATATTTATATAAATATACATATACAAGAATTATGTCACTACACAAGTTTTATATGAACTATAATGTATGACATTTAACCTTTTTACCACCAGTTCCCTCTTTTCATCACAAATTCACAAAATAGTCCTATTTATAGTCTGCAGAAATAGTAAAAAATTTTGAGTAAAAACTGAAAATTGATTCGTTAGCTCCAAAATTAGGGTTCATTTCCATATAAGATAAGATAAGATAATTCTTTATTACAACCTTATAGAATGAATTACATATCTATTTTGGTTTATGAAATGCAATAAAGGTGTTAAAATAAACATAACAAGTTAGATATCTAAAATCTACTACAATACAGTTACATGAAATAATGTAAAAAAAAAAAACTATTGATGACCCATTAGGTGGTTTTCTCTAATGGTATTTGCTGTTTTTATAAATTTGATAAGCTCTGTTAGTAAATATTTGTTGTTTGTATTGAAGGATATAAGAAAAAAGTGCAGAAAAATTTGGGCAAAAAAGTTAGGTGTTGAAATAAAAAATATCTCTAAAATATTCATATTTAGTTTTATGTCAGCATTTTTCTTTAAAGACAGATTAAATCCAGAATTAGGTACATTAGACATTTAAATAAATTATACATAATTATTCATTTTTTGCATAAAATGTGGAAACTTTATTAA